TTGTATTTCTAAAGGCATCTCTGAGACATACCTCATGCGGCCCTCTTCCCATGACACACGCTGAAGCCGCCACAAAGTTTAGACCCTTGCATCTCAAGGTACCTTTCTGTTACCCTGCATTATCCAGAGTGTTACCAAGTCCTGTTGATTTGTCCTTCCAAATTAACATACTCTGTGCCACTTCTTGTTTTCTGCTTCTCCCACCCCGGTCCAGAGTCTTACCACTTTATGTCAGTGTTGCTGTAACCATTTCAGATCTCTCTCTCCTCATCTGTTCTCTGCTGCAGATAAGTTTTCCTAAAGCTTTTTCATCTGCAAGTTTCTCACTCAAACGCACCGAAATTGGTCTCTGTTGTCTACCACGTAATAGATGCTGACTCTCAAGGCCAGTAATCTTAAACCCTATGTCATTAATAGTTTCCTGTTGCTACTGTGACAAATCACCAAAAACCTGCTGGCTTCCAGCAACACACACTTCTTATCTTCCTCAACTGGGTCAGCAGGGCTGTGGTCCTGCTGGGGACTCCAGGAGACGATCTGTTTCCTTGTCTTTTCCGTGTTCTAGACCAGTGGCTCTCAACCTTCCTAATGCCACAACCCTTTAATACAGTTCCTGTGGGTCGCAACCAGGAAAGTGGTTGAGAACCACTTTCTAGAGGCTGCCCGCGTTCTTCGATGCCCGGCCTTCTCCATCTCCAAAGGTGGCAGTCACATCACTCCCCCTTCTGCCTTCTCCATCTCCAAAGGTGACAGTCATGCCACTCCCCCTTCTGCCTTCTCCATCTCCAAAGGTGGCAGTCACATCACTCCCCCTTCTGCCTCCTCCATCTCCAAAGGTGACAGTCATGTCACTCCCCCTTCTGCCTCTTCCATCTCCAAAGATGGCAGTCACATCACTCCCCCTTCTGCCTCCTCCATCTCCAAAGGTTACAGTCATGTCACTCCCCCTTCTGCCTCCATCCTCACATCTGTTGTCACATCTGCTCTCTGACTTCACACTCCTTCTCCCCCCTTGTGGTGACACTGGGCCCATCTAGATAGTCCAGGAAAATCTTCCCATCTTAAGATTCTTCATTAAATCACATCTTCAAAGCCCCTTTCCCGTGTAAGCAAACATCGAATAGATTCAGGGCACTGGGACCTGGACATCTTTGAAGGAACCCCTAACCCCTGTACTGGCTGACTGCATTTC